TTAGTTTTGATGCAAAAACGCATGATCGCACCGGCTCGCCTGGTGCGTTCCAGCCTTTGTTATTCATTTCACATCACGGTTGTAACACTCAGCAGTATCAACTCAGCTGAAAACGTGTCATTAGCATAAATCCCTATTTCTTGTCGCAGAAGTGCAAAGCTGCAAGCCAACCGGCTAGGAAATGCAGGCGTCAAGTGCTGCCTTTCGTACAGAAAACAAACAAGGTGTCATCGCATTCAATCTTATTCCTGGTGATGAATGTATCCCGGCACTATGCTGTCCAGAAGCAAACGAGAATTCATCCCGTAAAAATCTTAAACCACCACTGGACAAACCGTGTATAAGACACGTGATGTGACATGAAACTACGTCAAAAATTTCCTCACAAAAAAAGCACAGAGGAAAAATAACTGGAGAAACAAAAATTGTGTTCGAAACGAAACAACGTCGGTGAAGCTACTGACGATAATAGCAAAGGTTACTTTAAAAAAAAAAAGGCTCTGATAAATCAAGCATCGACAAAAAATATTGAGCATTGTCGAGGCAATCATAACCCTGTACTTTTGGAAAAAGAAAATAAAGACCATTCACGCGCCCAGTTTTCGATAAAATACAGAAGATACACCGATTTCGTACCTGCTGAGCTAAATTAAATCCTTCTGGACTGACTGGGTGACACACAGCTAGCATCTTCCGCAAATCTGTACGCAATTTAGCGTATCCGTGCCACACTTAAAACATTAAAACTTACCACCAGAATATCATGCTATCGCTATTAAATTATAGACCCCAAATCATTGCCCAAATACTCATATTCATTTTCTCTACACAGATAATTTTCCCGCCTCAATGCAAAATAAACAAACTGTTTTCATTTGTCAGATATATTGTTAGCGAAAACAAAGTGAAATCAAATCCTACCATTACATTACAGGCCGAAGAATAAAGGAGCATAAATGACACTAACTGCAAACCCAAACGTAGTGGTACTTTGTATACACTTTATTCATGTAAGATTATGCAGTTGCGCCAGCATAATTTATGTAAAACACACAGTAGCTTTGTACAGATAATTTAAATCACAAGCCAATGCGGATAAGAGGCTGAAGTTTAGAAACATTGCCTCTAACCGTGCGTGGGTATGGAGGCATGAACATCAGATCAACTCCATGGACGCACAAACATCAGATCGGCTCCTAGGTTTTCCGTGTCTTCACGTGTGTGAAAACAGCTGTAAATTC